AGAGATCTTTCTTTCTTACAGCTGCATAGTATTCCACTGTGTATATGTACCACAGCTTTTTTATCCACTAATCTACTGATGGGCACTTGGGTTGTTTCCAGATCTTAGCAATTGTAAATAGTGCTGCTATGAACATAGGGGTACATATATTCTTTCTGATTGGTGTTTCAGGCTTCTTAGGATATATTCCTAGAAGTGGGACCACTGGGTCAAATGGCAATTCAATTTTTAACTTTTTGAGGTGTTTACCATCGTTGCTGTAACCAGTCTGCATTCCCACCAGCAGTGTACTAGAGTCCCCTTTTCTCCACACCCTCGCCAGCACTTGTTTGATGATTTGTTGATGGTGGCCATTCTGGCAAGGGTGAGGTGATACTTTATCGTTGTCTCAATTTGCATCTCCCTGATGATTAGTGACATTGAGCATTTTTTCATATATCTCTTGGCCATTTGTATGTCCTTTTTGGTGAGGTGTGTATTTAGGTCCTCTGCCCATTTTTTAAATTGGGTTCTTTGTCTTCCTTTTGTTGAGTTGTATGACTACTCTATATATTTTGTAAATTAACCCCTTATCTGATGTATCGTTGGCAATTATGCTCTCCCATATAGTGGGTTCCTGTTCCATTTTGATGGTTGTTTCTTTTGCTGTGCAGCTTTTTAGTTTGATGTAGTCCCATGTGTTCATTTTTGCTTTGTTTCTCTTGCCTTGGCATTGTAACAGTAAAAATTCTACTGCATGTGATGTCTAAAATTTTGTTGCTTATATTTTCTTCTAGGATTTTTATGGAGTCACGGGTCACATTTAAGTCTTTTATCCATTTTGAATTTATTCTTGTGTATGGTGTACGTTGGTGGTCTAGCTTCATTTTTTTGCATGTAGCTGTCTAATAAAATGACCCTTTTAAATGACTAGATGTGCTGATTATCCATTCTATTCCTCTCTTAACCTGGCCGTGGTAATCTAGTTAACTATGGTATTGATGTCCCAATTTTCCACTGAAGTCAGTGCTAATTTAGTTATATCAAGGCTTTATTTACAATAAGACTGGGCTGGGAGAAATGTAGAAAAGGAGACATTTCAATTCTGGGCACCATATTGCTGTTGTCCTGCACTTTGGGCAGTTTGGAAACAACGAAAATGGGATCAATAGTTGCCTCAACATCCAGTGTAGCTCGCCTGAGTCCCCAGCTTCACCCAAATCCCATCGGTGTGTGAGGCTGCTTTCTTAGTGAGAAGCTCCTAGCATTGGACAGCTTTGCCTTTTCACTGACATTTGCAGCTTTTTAAATAGATGAATATTTAATGTCATATTTAATAGGCCAGATTCTTTGAAGCAAAACCCCATTAGTTAGTTCCCACTTTTTAAAGAGTGGATGGTCCGTAGTTATTGTTAGAATTTTTTAAAATGTCTTAATATATGGATTTAATCATAAACACATTGATAAATGCAGCATATGGAAACTAGTAAGATTGTTTTAAATTAATATTCATATCCTTATATGGAAGCTATAGGATACGTTAAAAAAATCTTTCACCCTAAAGTGACATAATGCTATTTCTAATGATGGAAATTCCTAATCAGCTTTGCAATATAGTTTGGGCAATTTTCTTGTCCCATTGCACTGAAAATTTAAACCAAAAGGAATAAAATGTAACACCTGCAAGCTGGTTGCACAAAAGCCAATTTTATTTTGGTGTGTTTATTTACTCAATGTCCACATCCTTGAACTGTTGGCAAATTCACAGCTGGGTGGAGCAGCGCAAGTGTCACTGCGTTGATGCTGTGGGGCGGAGGGGTGTGGAACTGCCGGCCGCAGAGGGGTCCTCGCACAGAGAAGCTACATAAGTGATATCATATGCAGAAGCAGCCTCTGGGGTTTGAAAATAACTGGGCAGGGAGTGTCAGCCTTTCTTGGATCTGACTATTTGATTTACTATCCATAAGGGTCAGAACTATATTCCTGGGTGGGCTGGAGAGTCTGTTTTAGTGCACCCAGTTCCTAATAGCAACTCTGCATAATAGCTCAAAGAGCCTGGGAATGATCTTTTGTCTCGGGGCAGCAAGGTGCTGTATGCAAAAGCTGAACTAACATCCCGGCGAGAAGCCAAAACAGGACAGATGTTTTACGCTGCGCCTCAAACGTGGTTGTTTCTAGCATAGTTTCCTTAAATGAACAGGAAATAGAAAAAGCAGATTAAAACTAGCACCAATTTTCCATCCTGTCCTTCTTCTCCCTACCCAGCTTTTTTTTTGGGGGGGGGGGGGCTGAATTATTGATGCACAAGACATGTCTTGTATTATTTTTGTAACTTGTGAAAAATAAGCTGTCATTGCATATCTTCCCTGGTGCCAGAGACTCCTTGGAGGCCAGTGTCATAATCTAATTGGCACTGAGCCCCCATCTAGCACTTGAGAAAATATACAATCAGTGGACAGTCATTAAGACATGGGGGTGGTGGGAGTAGAGGTGAAATGTAACAAAGTTCAGAAAACAACATAAATATGTATTCGATCTGCCATTTGCCTGTGGTAACCTTGACCCCGGAGCACACTAGCCTGTCAGGTGTCTCTTGAGATCCTCATTAGGGAGACGCAGGGAATTCTGTGTCCGGCACTCTGTGCTCTGGATCTCCTTCGGTGGTCCTCTGGATCAGAACCCTTAGCTTCACCCCCCAGCTCTTCCTATACCTTTTCCAAGCTAATGCCTTTCCTTGAGTTTCCCAGGTGCCTGCGACCCCTGCCCCCCAGGCTTCCCCCACTTCTTGGTATTAGCAGATAGAGCCCATCAGTTCTTTCTAATGCTGGTGCCTCTTCCTGAAGCCCCACACGCCGTCAGAAACCAGAGAGAAATCTCTCACCCACATAAATGATGCTTTTAGAAGCATGCCCTATTCCGCCGACTCCTCCCAGAGTTCTGAGTTCTTCATTCACTGAAGTCTCTGGGATGCTCCCTAAGATCCAGATTCCCACTGATCATGCTCTCTCGGGTCTGCGTACACAGCAAGCTCCTAATGGAGGCGGCCGATTCCATCTCCCATCAAGGTGCAGAGAGCTAGTTAATTTTATCCTTTTACACATCAAGTTCAGGATTTCTTCTTAGGAATGTGAATATCTTCTCACCCTCACAGTTTGGAAACCTCAGGAACGGTCTGCCAATTTCAACAAGTGGGACACCACCCAGCAGTCTCCGAACAACTGCAACTATGCTTTGTGGGAAAACTTGAGGCTGAGAACTCCACCCGACCTTTCGTCCTTGGTCTTGGCTAGCCTTCCCATGCACCTCTGAGGAGCTCCCTCCCCACCATGTCATCTGTGTTCCCCAGTACTCTGGTCTTTTCCTTGCTCTGTGTGTCCTCTCCCTAAGCACCGCTGTCTTACCACACATGCCCAGCCCCAGCCCCTCTTCCTCTGGACTTCCACGCAGAAGAAATCCCCTCCCATCGGTTCCATGTGGCCTCAGATGAACCCTAGCTCTCTCTGGGGATGCTCTTTCCTCCTTAGTCTTTAAAAAAAATCATTAACAAAAGTCCTCACCTGAAGATATGTTTTTATTTATTTTTAGAGAGAGAGGAAGGCAGAGGGAGGGAAAGAGGGAGAAAGAGAGAGAGAGAGAGAGAGAGAGAGAGAGAGAAAGAGAGAGAGAGAGAGAGAGACATTGATATGAGGGAGAAATATAATAGGTTGCCTCCCAAACGTGCCCCAACTGGGGATCAAACCCGAAAGCTAGGTAGATGACCTGACTGGGAGTTGAACATGCAACCTTTTGGTGTATGGGATGATGCTCCAACCAACCAAGCCACCCCGCCAGGGCTCCTCCTTAGTCTCCTTAAGTGGCAGCTGCCCCTTCCCCCTCCCTTTAGGAACCACAGAGCTGATGGCGGCAGGCGTGGGACAGAGTTGGGAAGCAGCAAACATTTCCTGTAAAGGACCAGGTAGTAAACACACACCTTTGTACTCAGATCTGCCACTGTAGTGCAGGAGCAGCCACAGACAGTAAGTAAACAAACGGATGTGAATTTCATATAATTTCTGTGTCATAAAATAGGATTCTTTTTCGAAAAAAATTCAGCTGTTCAAAAATGTAAAATCCATGTTTAGTTTATGGGCCGTACAAAAGCAGGAGATGGGCTGGGTTGGGTTCATTGACTCCTGATCTAAACCTCAAACGTCATGTGCACACATGGCCAGGATCTTGTTCAAGTGCAGACTCTGATTCAGTGGATCTGGGGTGGACCCCGAGATTCTGCGTTTCTAACAAGATCCTGGGTAATCTGAGTGCTCCTGGTCAGCACATCACACTTGGAGTTGCAAGGTACTGCAGTCATGTGTAGAAATTTAGTCTTTATATTATAAAGGCATTAGAAACAATTTAACGATGAGGGAAATGTTCACACTTTAATTCATAATAGGTAGCCAGGTTGTATAGAAAGCATGGTAGCTGAGAGAACAGGCTATTAATTAATTAATTTATTTTTGTTACAGATATTTCTCCTTTTTCCCCCACTGACACCCTCCTCCCCCTCCCTCCCACCCCGTCCCCAGCTTTGTTGCCCATGTCCATCAGTTATGCGTACATACATATAAGTTCTGTGGTTTATCTCCCCCTCACCCCCTCTTCTGGGGATTGTCAGTCTGTTCCCCACTTCCATGTCTCTGGGACTACCCTGTTCTTCAGACTATTATGAGAACAGGTTTTTACACTAAACAGAGTCCCACTTGCCAGTCATATGAATCTGGACACACTTCTTAACCTTTCGGGTTCCATTTATTCGACTGTCAGATGAGACAATATTCTCTGCTTCAGAGGTTGCTTTGGATTTGAACATGACAATGCACTTTGCAAGTGCTCGATACAGCTTAGCCATTATTATTTTTAAAGTTACAAAGCAAGACATGAACCTGTAGATCACAAAATAATAAGAACTTTGAGTGCTGCAGGGGATTTCCTTGCTTTCTTGGAAAACATTTGTAAGGATCATGCCCATTGTTTCATTCAAGGAACATTTGCTGAGATGCTGCTTCTCCTGCCAAGCCATTCTCTCGCTGGATCGTCGAAGAGGAGGGAAAGGTAAGCTTATAGAGGTGGGGAGTGGAAACACAAAGCATTCCCACCTAGAAGAAGTCTCTGTGCAGGTATATGCAGAGTGCTGGGAACGCACAGGACAGAGCCTCCACCCTGCTATGAGAGGGTGCTGGAGGGTTCCACTCAGGAGGCCAATACGGGTCTGCAGATGGAGGGAAGAGGGAACGGGGTATGCAGAAGCAGTGGAGAATCCAGGGGTTGTTCAGGGAAACCAGACCTTAGGGATGTGAGCGAGAGGCCAGGGACAAGACCCTGACCAATCGGAACAGAATAGGCCTTCATGTCAGAGGTTTGGACTGGCTGGGTGTGAGCTCCGGGTGGATCATCATGCCTTTCTGGAGAGCATTCTGACAATACCATAATATATGCCAGTGGAGACAGTGGGGAAAGACGGTGCCCGAAAATCCTTGACCACTTTCGCTGGAGTCACATAAATACTGGGGTACCCTCGTGCTGGGCCAAGGCATCCCAGTCTCTATGGCTTGTCCTTAAGAAATAGAGTGGGGCAAAAGTAGGTTTACAGTTGTTTGTATGGAAAATAATACAATAATTAATAAGTAATAATACAAGAATAAAGTCTCATGTGCTCACAACTGTAACCCTACTTTTGCCCCACCCTGTATTACAGACTGGATGAGGTGTCTCTACTACTTGGGACCTAACATATTAGGACCAAAGGAAGATGGCTTTTGTCAGTAGCCTCCTGGGAACGTATTTGGCTCAGCGATTACCATCTTAATGTCTGCTACTGAGGGACTTTGCGAGCTGCCGAGGGGCTACTGAAATAAAGTTTGCAGCCTTCCGTGGAGAGCACAACCTCTAGAGAAGAAAATGGGCTTGCGAATCGCTACACCACAGGGAGAAGGGAGGCAAAACAAAGTCTTACCGAACTTCATAGAAGGAGAAAACGATGATAAGGAGTTTGGACTTGGGGTGGGAGCTTCAGATGGGCGTCATGGAGGAAGCAGCACTTGAGTTGGCCTTTGAGATAGATGTTTCAGTCTCTGGGTGCTCCCATCCGAATTGCCAGCTGGTTGGGAGTGAGGGGTTGGGGTTTATTTTATAAATATGCAGCTAACTTTAATCAATGGCACTGGAACTGAAGGTACGTTCCTGAACTGACCTTCTGAGTAGGACCCAAAAGCTGCCGTGTGAAGTGACTGAACCTACCGGGCAAAGCCTTCCATCAAAGACAATTTGGATTACAGCCCCCGAATAGAAATTTAGAAATGGTTCCTGGAAATTTCTCTTCTGTCTTCCCTTCTTGATTCCCGAGGCGTCCTGGCCACCGCAGCAGGGCTCTGCGGCAGAGCTTCCTGTGTGAGGTGCCCCAGGCCCAGCCGTAGGGACGGGGGTAGGTGACCTGCTTGGGCTGGGACACTGCGTCCTGACACAGGTGTCCTCAGGGGTAGACTGCTGATTCCAGCTGGCTCTCCTCTGTTAACATTCTCTTTTCTCAGTGGTACGGGATGGCTTTTTCTGCCCTAATATTCTCCTAAACTATGCCTGATCTTTTGAATTAATTTTTCAACATTTCACCTTCTTTAAATAGAAATGTACCCATGTCTGGGCCTATCTGATTACTCTAGAGAGCCCCAGCTGAGTTGCTTGGCCTGAAGAAAGGTTTGTGATTGGGGCTTGGGGCTGAGAAAAGGGTGTGAAAGAGGCCACCACAGGCTGTTTCTAAGACCAGACTGTGGACTGATTAGGTTTGGGCTCAGTGGAGAGGGGTCTGCAGGCAAAAGCCGAAAGGATGTTTTTTATAAGGAACTCTCAGAGACGAAGGGCCACAGGCAATGCTGCCTCAGGTCCAGGAGACAGCTGCACACTGCTGGTCACTTCTAGAGCTGGTGCTCGCGGAGTCCTGAGCACTCAACGTGGGCTAGTTTGTGTCTTTCCGTGGTGTTAAGGGGAAGAAACATTTTCCTGTTGAAGAGAGTCTTCTGCCTCAGTGTTGGGATCTTTGTAAATCAATCCCTGGACAGTGAAGCAGAATTTTTATAGAGGGCTAGGTTAAGATGAAACTCCAAAAGGTTGCTTGTGTAGCAGACATCACTGATGAGGCTGAGGTGCAAGAACATAGGATGCCTATAGTCAGTAATACAGGGCGGGGCAAAAGGCTTACAGTGGTGAGTATGCAAAACCCAGAGTTTATTCTTGTATTATTATTTATTAATTATTGTATTATTTTTCATACAAATAACTGTAAACCTACTTTTGCCCCAACCTGTATGGTAATAACTATATATGGTGCCAGGTGGGTACTGGAAATATCAGGAGGGACACTTAGTAAAGTATATGATTGTCTAATCACTGTGCGGTACATCTGAAGCTAATACAATATAATATTGCATATAAATTGTAATTGAAAAATATTTTAGAAATTGGAAGTCCACTTGTGAATCCACATGAGATGCCCTTGGATGCTTCCAAATATACACATGGGAGAAAAGATCACTAAGATTCCTCCTTATCTGGTCAGGAGAACACAAGAATAAGATGTGAGTTGTTGTTGTTATTGTAACCTCATTTGTACCCACTGGCTAGGGAGGTTTGGAGAAATTTGAGTTACATTTGTAAATACACATACATGCATTGGAAATTGATACTAAAAGCACTGTTCTAGGAGAGAGCGTTCCTCAACCCATTCACAGAACATAAGTGTCTGTGAACAGCTGCCACACTTATATGGATATGAATCAGCAAATCTGCAGTCATTTCTGTTTCCTATGTCATTCTCGTCTATAATGGGGAACACAGCTGGATATTTGTTTGTAGATGATCTGCCTTGCCCCCTAGAAAGGTAACTGGGACTTTGTCGTCTTGTTTACTGCTGCATCCCCAGTGCCCAGAACAGTGCCTGGTACACAGCAGGCACTTAATATTTGTGAATGAATGAAAAAGTGAATGAACATGTGGGTGTTGTATGAGATGAAAGCCATCTCTCTCCTCTCTCAGTTGCTGTGACTTCTGCTCAGTCTACCTTGAGTCCCGGCCTATGGAAAATTCCATCCTCTCAGTGTAGAGACTGTGGGTGGTTCCCAGGGCATTATGGGTCAGCATGTGGGTGTGGATTCTTGTACAGACAAAGAGGCCCTGGGCCGAGCAGATAGTCCCAAAGTCTCAGAGGGACTTTCAGGCAGAATACTATAAACTTCATCTTCCTTAAAACACTTAATTTTTTTTCCCCATTATGAAAATAACACATGCTTGTTCACTAAAGATTGAAAATGCTAGAAAAATGGGAAGGTGGAAAAATTACTCATAATCCCTATACCCCAACACAAACCCATCCATCTCTTCCTCCTGGGTTATCGAAACAGCTTTTACATCTGCCCCCTTCCCTCCAGCTTTGCCATCCTTCAGTCTAGCTGCAGGGCCAGGGAGGAACCTTCCTAAAACAAAACACTTCAAAGGCTTCCTGTTGTCCTCAGTATCCCAACTGCTCCATAGGGCTGGATCTGTTTGTCTCTTCAGCTTCGTATTCCTCTGAGCCCTTATCATATTACACTTGTGCCAAATGGAATTTCCTTCCTTTCTTCCAGCAGCAGCACCTTCTCACCCTGCCTCTGGTCTTTCTCACAGGCTGCTCGCTCCGCTTGGAACGCGCTCCATCTTCCTTGGTCCTCTTCTTTCTCTTCCTCTGTTTCCTTGTTTGCGTCTGAGTATTCAACGTTTCTCTCTCTGATTCCGAATTGAGATGCTACTCCCCGATACACCTTTCCTGACGATCCTTTCCCTCTCCCCTACCGAACCTGAGTGTGTGGGTCCCCCTGCTCACCTCAGAAAGCCCACAGATGTCCCCATCCTATAGCGCATCGCACAGCATTTTGCCCGTGTCTGTGAGAGCATCTCTTCATCCTCAGTGCGCAGCACAGTGCCTGGGTCATGTTACACGCTCAATAAATATTTGTGGAAGTGAGTTTAAATTGAACCGTTGTTTACATTTTAGAAACATTTCCTCTTAATGTTTGCTTTAATCATACTGTGTTTTCCATTTTATATGAATATAATTAATCATGTAAAAGGCTATATTATATAAACATTTTAATCTTATTTTTGATCTTATGGGTTTTTTAACATCATGAAGTATTTCAATGTTACCTAGTCTTCATAAACTTCATTTTTAATCACTGCATACTATGCCATCAAGGGGATGCACTCTCATTAACTTCTGTTTTAGGATATTGAAGATTTTTTTTTCCTGCTACAATTTGTTAATTTTGCTATACTTATCTTTGGGCATAAAGCTTTTCATATTTTGACTTATTTCCTTAAAACACCCAAAGTAAGCCCTGGCCAGCTGGGCTCAGAAGTTAGAGCTGGACCGAAGGGTCGCAAGTTCAATTCCTAGTCAAGAGCACATACCTGGGTCTCGGGCTCAATCCCCAGCCCTGGTCAGGGTGGTGCGAGAGGCAACCAATCAATGTGTCTCTCTCACATTGATGTTTCTCTCTCTCTCTCTTTCCTGTTCTTCCTTCCACTCTCTCTAAAAATCAATGGAAAAATATTCTCAGGTAAGGATGAAAACACAAAAATCAAACAAGCACCCCAAGTAAAATTTTCAGGTCACTGTGCATTTGAAGGTCTAATACATATTGCCTTCACAAAGTGTTATTTATTCATTTATGTTGCCACTAGCAATATGTGTGAGTGCTCATTTTATTTACCCTTACCAAAGTCACTCCCTTTTCAACCATTAAAAACTTTCAACGAGCATGTAGCTCCCAAAGGCAGCAGCACTAAGGACACAGGGCCAGCATTTGCCCCTCCCTGAACCCCCTTCCAGGACAGCATCTCAGTCCCATTTGCCGAGTGCAGACTTGGCCAGCTTTCACCCCACTGTGTGTGGTCACTCGGAGCATCCATTTCCTGTTCTCAAGGTGAGTGCGATAGCTTGGTTTGCTCTGTTTATTCTATTTCAAACCCTTTATTTTATTTATTTATTTATTTATTTATTTATTTATTTATTTATTTATTTATTT